GTAAGTAAAACTAAATTTATCCTAGATGGTATGTATCAAATCAAGCGACTTCTGTTTTATTCTAGGTTTGCTAAAAGTTTTTATCAGGAACGGATGGTAGAAATGAATTTTGTCACATGTTTTTCTACATGTCTTATAGCTAATATATGTTTCATTGTCTTTTATAAAAATCTTAAAATGGAATATCTCCTCTCTCAGCTATTTATTCAATTGATATCATACTTTTTACTTTTATGCTTGAAGTGTAAAAGTCCTGGTGTGCTGTAGGATAAGCACTAGACCACAAGGTTGATTTGAACAACAAGGTAGCAGTTCAGACCCACCACCCGCTCCTTGGAAACCCTATACCGGGTCGCCATGTGTTGGAACCTACTTGCTGTCACGTAACATGTTATACACACCAATGACATTGCCTGTGGTCAGTTACCTTTGCTGTTGTTGTTAAAAGTGTTGTCAAATCAGTTCCCACTCATGAACCTTGTAAAGAGTCTCTATGGCTTTTAAATCTTTGAGGGAGCAGAAAGCCTCATGTTTCTCTCACAGAGTGGCCTTGTGGTTCACAATTCAGTGCTTATCCAATGGAACCACCTTGCTCCCTCAACTACTTTTGTTGTTGTTGCTGTTAAATCCCATTGAGTTGGTTCCCACTCATAGTGACCCTGTGGAGGGTATCTGAGGAGCAGCTGGTGAGCCTGAACCACCAACCTTGCCTTTAAAGCGATTTCAGTGATAAGACACAATCATGTAGTTACCATTCCTATCGCTTTTCAGTCTTTTTGTGTAGATCTTCGTTTGTATTTGATATTTCACTGAGAGCAAAATTTGATGTTGGCAGGATTGTTTGGGAATTTTTTCTCCACCTACCCCAAAGTTTCCAGATGTTGTCCCACTGTCTTCTTGCATTGTTTCTGATGAGACATGTACTGTCGTCTATCTTATCTTTACGTATGTCCTTTATCGTTGGCTACTTTTTAATTGTTCTCTACCTTGGGCAATGGAGTCCTGGTGTGGGCACTGTGGGCTAATGTGTCAGACTGAAAAGTTGTTTGAACTGCAAGTTCGGTGGTGCAAGCTCACCAGCTGCTCCTTGAGAACCCTATACAGGGTGGCTATGGGTCGGAACTGACTCTGTGGCACTTCACAACAACACAACAACTGGTAGTAATTCAGGATCAGGAATGCTCAGGATCTCAACATGCCCTGAGGCACACTTCTTTGTAACCCTGGACCAGGCCCAACCCAGAGTCTGCTTCCGCACCCCCGTGTTTAAAACCCCTTCACTTCCTTCAGTGACCAGAGCCTGCCCTCTCCACTATGAAACAGACCCAAAGGCCCTCCGCCCTAGCTCCGTGAGTCAGCCAATAGCAGTATTGCACAGCAGTTGAATTACTGCCATTAAGTGCCCACCAGAGACACACCGCCTCATCATCAAGCGTCCTGCCCAAAGGAGTCTCCACTGCTTTGTCTCTGCTGGTCTTCCAGTCCTGTTGCCATAGCTTCTCACTGTCACTCCGCGTCTGAGGTGTCACAGCTCCCTTTCCTCCCAGATTAAGGACGTTCAGCACAGACGTCTCAAGTCCAAAACATGCACTCCACTCGTGACTCTTCTTTCTAGATGGTAGTGAGATCTCCTTTTCCACATCTGAGATGGCTCCTCTTAAGCCTTGTTGGTGTTGGTGTTGGTAACTGTCTGTATAGGATTTCCAAGGAGTGGCTGGTAAGCTTGAACCTCCTACCTTGCTGTTCAAACTGACTTTGCAGTCCAGCTCATTAACCCAAAGCGCCACACCAGGACTCCAAGATGATAAAACTAACCCGTCTCCTCTTTAGGGTTCCGTATACTTTATTTGCATGATCCCAAACACAGCAGTGCCATATACCTTCTTTACATTATTAGCAAGCTGCTCAATCTCCTTGTTGGGCTGCAGGTACCTAACATTTGCAGTTTTACCCAATCATTTGGTGGGAGTTACCAAGACTGTAGCTAGACATAGTTCATCGTATCGAAGCTCACCATGAGTCAAAATCTGACTCTACAGCCACGAACATCAACAATGTGATCATCTAAGAACATTCCACATAAGGACTATCATCTGAACCATCGCTAAAGGAGTAAATAAGTTTTATTAGAACATATAATCCCAGCTGTAGAACACACGTAGGTGGTTTATTGATTGACGAAAGTGAGTCACTGGGTCTTAGTAGCTGCAATTAATTCAGGCCTCACTGCTAGATCTGAAAATGTCTTCCACACAGACTAAAAGATATTCTCCCCCCTCCCCCCCAGTGATGTGTTGAGCACACATATCATCTACCCTGCCAGCCAGTTTTTCCCTACTGCTAGTCCTTTCCACTGAGGATAGAAACATAAAAACAGGAATGTTGTTGTTATCAGGTGCCATCAAGTCTGAACCAACTCATAGTGACCCTATGCACAGCAGAATGAAACACTGCCCAATCCTGGGCCAACCTCACTACTGTTGCCACGCTTGAGTCCATCGATGCTGTCACTTGACCAATCCATCTCGTTGAGGGTCTTCTTCTTTTTCTCTGACCCTCCACTTTACCAAACATGATATCCTTCTCCAGCGACTGGCCCCTCCTGACAATATGTCTGAAGTATGAGCGACGAAGTTTGGCCATCTTGGCCTACAGGGGGCGCTCTGGATGCACTTCTTCCAATACAGAACTGTTGGTTCCTTTGGCAGACCATGGCACTTTCAGTATTCTCCTCCAACACCATAACTCAAAAGCATCAATTCTTCTACCGTCTTCCTTATTCACTGTCCAGCTTTCACATGCATATGATGTTATTGAAAACACCATGCCTTGGGTCAGGCGCACCTTAGTCCTCAAGCTGACATCTTTGCTCTTCAACACTTGAAAAAGGTATAGAGAGCTCTTATTTGCGAATGCTGCCAAGTCAGGATGTATTTGTACATGCTTGGTTAGAAGATATATGTGTGACATGTTGATATAACCGCTAAGAAAAGTGCTATGGCATTTCTCAAAAAAACTAGAACTAGAAACACATGTGATCCAGAAATCCTACTCTTAGGTATAGATTTAGAGAAATAAGAACTGTGACATGAATAAGTATATGGACACTTGTGGTCATTTTAGCATTTGTTGTTGTTGTTGTTGTTATGTGCCATGGAGTCGGTTCCGACTCATAGCGACCCTGCACAGGGTTTCCGAGGC